ACTTGCTTTCCTAAAAGTTATTCTCATCCCGGCTGGAGCGAACTGCAGTTTCGACCTCGCATCGGTCTTATCAACACCCTTAGCGGGAGTGGTTAGTGTGTCAAGCTCCCATCCTGCACTGTCGCGGTTCGACTCCTGCTGAGGGTGTTGATGAGACCGATGCGAGGTCGAAACCGCAGTCCACTCCAGCCGGGATGAGAACAGCTTTTGTGAAAGCAAGTCGATGTGCAATTCAATGGAATCGTCAGCTCAACTCATATCATTGTGGGAAAATTCTACTACCAGTCCTTCATCACCTTAGACGAAATAGGGTGAATTCACCTCTTGTCACACCTTCATTGCATCATACAGTCAAGGAGGAAAAAAGTTTACATTCTGCATTCTACCCATTTTCTGTCGTGTACTCAAAAACGTGAAAGTGCCTAATTGGTGTGGAGGCTTTTATTTCGTATGAAAGGACATGATGATTTTATCAGTCAGGTGATCACACAAGGTCAAGAAGACCTAGTATGAACATGAGACTTTTGCATTAATTAGCTCCAGCTCTGATGATTTCGGTCATGTGGCATAGCGGTCGAGAGCTCATTCCATTTTAACCGGAAACTAGGAAGGATGTTTTATGGACTGCGTCAACCTAAAAGTTTTATTTAAGCCAAACAGCTGCAGCACAACGCGAATAAGACGTCATTTTTTGGTTAGCTCGAACTCTGAAACTCTTTATCATGCAATTTCATAAGAAATGAAAGTCTCCCCGACAACATTCTGTATTGGTCTATATTCATCTAATTGCTTAGTTGACTTCCATTTCGAGTGAAAAGATATGAGGAAATGATTCGAAGCTCAATCTCATCAGAAGACAAAGGCAGATTCTTCATAACCAGCCATCATCGGTCGGTTCTACTCGAACATTCTTTTGGAAGCGGTCTCCAAAGCAATCTCTTTCACTTCCTGTGAAAACGAGCTAAGCTATTCGAAGGTATGAAGACCGAGATGGTGTAGCCTTTTGTGTGGTCGCAGTCTCCTTTTGTTGTATAGAAGCTGGCAACTGGAACATGTATTCAGAGCAGCAGTAGCCTGTATCGTTAAACAATGATGATGAAAGATGTGAGATTTTCAGGAATTACACAATTTCAAGGTACCAAAAATAGATAACAATATAGACAAAGACGAATCCCGAAGCCTGTTGTGGAATTTATCCAAGAAAAATAAAGCCTCATTTAATAAACAAACAATTGTTTCAATTAGCAACATCTAAAGTATTTTATTATGAAGTCAAGCAAGTTTATTGTATATAGAAGATATGAAGACCAAGATGGTGTGGCCTTTTGTGTGTTCACAGTCTCCTTTCGTTGTATAGACGTTGTTTGAACTTGCTTTCGCAACTTGGTTATGTTGGTAGCAAGTTGGGAATGTACCAAGTCCGCGGTTCAACTTTGGAAATGATGATGCATACAATGGACTCCGGAATAGGTGTGTTTCTCTAAGTCTCCCTACCAACATGACCATGTTGCGAAAACAAGGTCAAACAAGCTAAGCTACTGTCCGTCATACGACGGACATCATCAGAACATGTCCCTATTTCTGAAATAATATTCAAGCTAACGCTTTCACCGGTATTGTAGAAGATCGACTCGAGAACAGCCTCATTTAAAATGTTTCAGTAATGCCAACAGATAACTGGTCAAGAAGAATCCGTCATCATCTTCTAGTGAGACCAGGCCTACATTAGGCATACTTTCACTCGAAATGGAAGTGGGAACAATTTTAAACTAAGGGACTCTTCGAATAAATGTCTATAAGAAATGTATTTATCCCATTTTGTGTAAGGTACACGAGGACTGGTAGTTCAATTTTCCCACAATCACTTGAATAGATATCACGTTTTCGTTGAATCTCACGCAGCCTTGATTCACAAAAAGTATTCTCATCTCGACTGTGCTAAATTGAAGGTATGAAAACCAAGATGGTGTGGCCTTTTGTGTGGTCGCAGTCTCCTTTCCTTGTTTTCGCAACATGGTCATGTTGGTAGGAAGAGTTAGAGGAACGCACCTAGTCCGGAGTCCATTGTCTGCATGATCATTTCCAAAGTTGAACCGCGGACGTGGTACTTTCCCAAACGTTTCGCTGGCTTCGTCAGTGAGCATCGCCATTCTTAGCACCACACAACAAAGAGACAAGTGAAGCCGATCCTTTGACCAAACGTGTGTTAAACATTTGTGGTATCTCCCCTTCTGCCATGGTCTATTCGCGCTTCCTGTATCATCCTATCATACCTTCACAATCACAAGTTTACCGTGTTTATTTCGATTTAGTGTGGTGTGCTCCTTTGAGCGACATGACACTTTCACACTCCAACTCTCTTTCTCACCCCCTTACCTTCATCCTTGTGCAGGGAATGTTGATCAAAGTCTACTTTTTTATTATTTTGCAGTCCTCTTTCCTAGTCTTATCCCAGTCTCTCTCTTGCTCCGTAAAATCCGTCTGCCCTACCCCTTG